CTTTTTGTCCAGGATGCTGATGAAGAGGAACCTCTGGCGGGGAGCCGTCCTGCCCCGGCCTGGCTAGGACTGAACCGTCACTCTGCTCCAGAGCCTCGAAGCGCTGGAAACCTTTATGAGCTGGACAGGATAGAGAGAAAGCATTATGAATCAAAGCCAGACAGCACGCCATGTCAAGTCCTTTCACACGACTCCCGACTTCTTTCATCCGCTCTTTACCCAACTGTAGGATTACAGTCCATGGACAGCACCACGACTTGAGATCAACCTCTACATGTAATTATTTGATTTGTACATTTACTGGGGAACTGCTCAGGGATCTTTATAAGCTCAAATGCACAATTTACCCAGTTTTGGCTCAAAATGGGTGAAAGCTTTACCTATTTTAGGTACAACATTAATGCTGTCTAGAAATTTTGTAGGAAAAAACATTAATCAACCTGATAATCAGAAAACATGGAGATGTATTCTTGTGCAGGATATTATTCAGATTCCAGTATCATTCTATATGTTGGGGACATGATATCTTAGCTGGAAGAAACAGAAAATTTAATGTCTCTATCAATTGCTAGAGACTTCAACTTACAGAAGATTGAATCTCTACTTCAACTCTTTTAAACCAAGAGGGAAATACATTTTTCCTAGCAGCTGTGGGGATACTTCTTACTGCACTATACATATATGCCTTATAATAGTCTTGTCCACGTCTATTTTATTTAATTATATCCTTTTTTAAATGTACTTTATTTTGTCTTTTAAAGTGACAGTCAGCGCCAGTTAAGACTTTATAAACCTCCCACTGACCTGTGCGCCCAAATTACTGTTCATATTGACACACTCTAAGAGGCAGAGGGTGTGGGTGGAGGGCGTGTCCCTGCCTCTCCAGGCCGCACTTCAGTGTGGTGCAGAGGCTGACTATGTTTAGCACTATGCCCCCTGCCCCATGTGAAAGCTGCACCTATCTTCTAAAATATTTCCGAATTGGTGACATGTATCAATATAACAACATATCAAACAAATCCTTTAATTCACTTGTCTGTGTTTTGTGTCGCGCACACCTTAATTTCCAAAACAGGGCCTAAAATCTTTTTTAATGCCTTATGTAAAGATTTTGATTGTCTTTGTGTTTGAAAGCTACACTGCCTTTTGTCTACTTTTAACTACATACTGTTTTGTTGTTTGTTAATATATAATGAGAAATCAAAAATCTATATTTTAGCACTTTATTTCTCTAAGCAACATGTAAACATCCCATCAGCATTATTGTGTTAGCTGAAAGGCAAACTTACGGTGAACCTATTTAGCACTGGGATGTTTTCTTCATCTGAACTGTCTTCTGCAGGCAAACAGAGATGGTACAACAGCAAGGCGGCATGGACAGTGAAACACAGCTCCACACAAACTGATGTAAGCAGACACTTGCAAAATAACAGTTATGTTAGACAGCTGCTAGCATGGACAGAGAACACCAGAATCAAAGAGCAGCAGCAAGGGAGCATGTTGAAAGCTTGGAGCAAAACACTCATGCGTGGACCTCCTTCTCTACAGGTTTAAACAGGTGTTAGCAACATGCTGCTGATAGAAATGTATATCTTTTCATGAACATTAATCAACATCAGCTCCTTTGGATAGCTTATGGTGACAATCACACTACTGTGATCTTAACAGTAAAATTTAGTTTCTTTTCTATACCATCAAAGTGTTCCCTTGGAATCTGAAGTCTATATTTACATTCCCTTCATAATCCTGGTAGACTAGGAAAACAAAACCAAATTGTTTTTTGAGAGAAGGCAATAGTGAACTACAAGCACTGAAAAACAAACATCCATTTACAAAGCTTTAAATCTTAAAGCAACATTATGTTGGAATTTTATCTTAAACAGCTTCAAAATCATTTTGATACACTGATAAATCATCGGGACACTGGCTCGCAGTGTCAGCTACTGTGCTGTGTAACTGAGTTGAAAGGATGCGACGATGCCAAGCTGGCATTCTTTCTGTTGGACTAGGGCTGGGCAATCAAGCGATAATGAAATTATCATTATGGTTATTATTGAGCGGGCACATAAACCGGGCTCAGCACCCATATCTTAGACATAACATTAGCTAATGGCAGAGGCAAAAAGACCAAGAGGAACTACACCATTTATGTTATAAATCATCTACCAGGAATTTGCACTTGTACATTGGAGTACTGCATTGTACATTGATTGGCCACCGCAAAAGTTGAGAAAGGTTCAGAGATTTTTGTTGAAAGAACATTTTTATTATTTTGTTTTTGTTTTTTCAGCCTGGATCCATACCCTTGCTGTGCCACCACAGAGGTCTCAATAAAATGAATAGGAGGCTGCATTTTCCACACATTGCTAACGGGCCCTTCAATCCTGGTTTTGTGTGTCTGGATAAGTCTTCTCCATAGCTTAAGCATGACGGATCAGGGTATTCTAGTACTAAGCTGAAGCTCATTGTTTCAGGTTTTTAAAAAGCAGTAGACTAGTTAAACAAAAATGCCTCCACTAACAATGGCTATAAAACAATGGGTAAAGTCTGTAAAAGAGCTGATGAGAGTTATTTCCAAATGAAAAGGTTTGTAACTCTGCCAGAACATAATCGATACTCTAACATCGTCCAGGAAACTCCTGTGTTTTTATTTATGTCTGAATAGTAACAATCTTGTTAAATTATATTTGTTAGCTTCTTAGTCACCCTGGTCATGGACATCTAAAAGTTCAAATTCATTTACGTTACCTTTGAATTAGTACTTCTAGTTACTCTTAATTCTTAGTCTTTAAATGCTACTTACAAACTGCAAAAACAGAAGTAAACAGTCATAAGCAGTATTTCAAAACCTAACCGACTATAGATGATGTTGTGCCTTTATGAATTGTTAATCATTGATTGGGTTGCATTGTGTATGCTGTACAGTAGGCTGTGCAGAGTAGATGACCGCTGTGAATGTTTACAGACACTGGATTTAGTAGTTACCTTGCTCTGTGCTACAGTGCCACTGATGGAAGTTGCGACCAATGAGAATGAAGCTCCTTGTAGTGCCTGGAGGCTGTCTGAGGTTCTGGACCAGAGGGAATGGTACAAACATGTCTCCAGATGGGGGACAGCTAAAGAGAAGTTTAAGAAAGGGAGAAAACTCATTATTATATGACACAGTTGTAACACAATGCTGGTCTGAGATATTAAGGACACTGAGATGTACAGGTGAGAGGATGAAGGGCTGTCAGGCAGAGATCCTGCACATACGGGCAACAGTGTTTTTTTACGATTGTATTCCTTTTTTCTCCTGATGTGGAATATCCCATTCCCTCTGGAATGTGTCTGCTGACTCTACTGTTGGTGTCTGGAGGACTGAGAACAGATATGTCCTACCTCAACCAACCAGTAGGAGTCACTAGTATAGCGAGAAGGATGTAATACCTCACAGGCAACCGCACGCCGTGTTGGGCTGCGGTCGAAAAGTCAAAAAAATCTCCTTTTCTAACCTCCTTTCCTTGACCTCGATGGAAAACGTCACGAGGTCAAGGAAAGATGCAAAGGAGAATTCATAAGGAAGAGTACCTCGGGGCTCAGAGAATACGACTGCTCTTTTCTAAGCGTCGTAATTATGCGCCTGCAGATGTTACTGACGTGGCCTGCTGTGATTAAACTACAATGTTCTGAAGATGGACTACAAAAAAGCTCATCTTTGACACTGCGCCCCATGTTGTTGTAATGCAGGCCATCTAAAGGTGGACAGCATCGTGGAATATATTACCTAATAACCAAGATAGCAAAAAGGCAGATAAGGTAGCCTACCAGTCACTAAATAATGGACAGAGTTGTCACATTGAGAATGCTTGCTCACACTCACCCTCCTGCCCACCCATATTTATCAATTGTATGTAAATAAAGTTTTTCCCACAGAATGACAGCGTAACTGTACCGAGAGAGAGAGAAAGAGAGCGACGGGGTGAGAGGAGATGCTGAGAGAATATACGCGCTGCGCGGAGCTCTGTGAGCAACATTATCCTGACTTTGATCAGGTTACAAGACCAGGAACAGCTCGCATGGGTCTCAGTTATTGTTGACAGTTTAAGATATATGCATATTAGCAAGTTATGGCATAAGAGAGAAAAGGCTTAATAGCCAATGGTAACTTACATGGTGATCAACATCCTTTATCCGTCATGGTTGGTGATTTCTTTATTTTATTGTTGTAGAAAATACTTTTTTTTAATGCTTATTTCAACAACCCGAAACATAAAACGGTGTTGAAACAGTATCAGATTACAAAAAAGCCAAAAGAAAAAAACCAAAAGAAAGAAGGTAATTGTGAGTCTTATTAAAGTATCATAATGTGCTTCTGTATTGCAAGGATTTTGCTAAATGTGGTTGATGGATTTTATCCTTTGAGTTTGAGAACGTGCGCCGCTTTAAATGTTGCCGCTGCAAGGAATTGTGGGACGGCATTATCTCCTTTCCTTTCATAAAGGATGGTGCGGTGTACCTTATGCTAAAGGAGATATGAAAGGAAGCACTGAGGCTCCTTTCCTTAGCTTTTAGAGAATCGACCAGCTCTTATCATGGCTGCCACTGTAATACTTCCAGTTCACTTCACTTAGTGAGGAACCTTCTTAAGCAAAAAAGACTTTTTGAACGCAGCCTCGCAACCAGACACCCACAAAGTAGACATCTTATAGTATGACCAGTATCCCCTGAATTTGTTAAAGTAATGTAAATGCTCCGTACTTGTATAGCGCCTTTCTAGTCTTTTCGACCACTCAAAGAGCTTTTACACTACATCTGCATTCACCAGTCAAACACATTCATACACTGAGCCTAAGTGCTCAAACAGAAACTAGCATTCACACACATTCATACACTGGCGGAACAGCCGCCAGGGGCAATTCGGGGTTCAGTATCTTGCCCAAGGACACTTTGACACGCAGCCTGGGGGAGCCGGGAGCTGTCTTTTCACAGGCTCAGCATTCCCTGTTCTATACTGAACAATAGTTAATATTACTTTCTAGAATTTCTATCTAGAACAAAAATATACTGAAAATCCTTTAACGATGTATTAACAAATGTAACTGAAATTCAATTTGTGAATCAGCACTATGGGTTATGAGATATAGAGTCTAAATGAGTTAACTTCAATTATAGCGGCACCTGTAAATTTTGTGTGCAAGTCTTTCGACACATTTTCAACAAACTGTGTAACTTTAGTGTCTAAACCACTTTAACAGAAATGGCCTATAGATCAGTCTCTTTTCAAATAAGGAATGAAGATTATTCTAAAGATGTATGATGACTGGACAAATGGTCATTGAGTTATGGCCATTTTCTACGACATATGGGTACCAGAACCGGGCGAGTGGGCAACTGAACTAGGCTCAGCAGCCTCCCAGTGAACACTGCCACGGGACAGAACACAGCCTCAGAGACCAATGGAAGCCAGTTAACGACAGGAAATACAGTACGGATGGGATTTACATCGGGTGGGAGCGAGAGGGAGGCCGGGCATCAGAGAGGCAGCGACAGCGTGTAAAGCCAGAATATTTTCACATCTAACTTCTTCGCCAAACCAGAGGTGATGATTGTTGGAACAGTGGACCAAGACAGTTTTAGTGAGTTTTATTGATGTGTGTTTCTTAAAGGCGACACCAGTGGTTCTCCGTGTTTATACTTGCTGTCCATCGCTTTTTTGTGACTAGTTAGGTTTTATCTGAAGCATCACAAACTTTTCTTGACGCCTTTTTTTTTTGTTTTTCCCGCTACAGGGTCTGCCATACTCCTAGCTGCTGTAGCTGCTCCATCGCTACAGTTGCATCATCTTTTTTTGATTTTGTACAGCAATGGCAGAAAGTGGAGCCACATGGCTCTGGGTTGCTTCTCCATCAGGTCTGGGAAACCAGTCAATGCTGGTTGACGTAAAAAGCATCACTACTGGCGTGCCAGCGTCACCACAGACACCAGGTTTAAAACTCCAGTATTCTGTAAATACAGAGAGATTTACCTTGTGGTAAGAGGCTTAATCAGCACTGTGTAAACTCGTTGGGCGAGGCCTTGAATTTAACAGACACTCATTTATATGTAAATGCTAAGAGAACTAAAAACAAAGTGCTGCTTAGCAACGTCACAGAAATTGTTGATTACTTCCCATAATTTTTGATAATGAGCAAGCTACTTGATAGCTTACGTACACTGACACGGACACACACACAACAAGACAGTGTTGCACTGTTACCACCAGTGGGTCTTCACTGTCATTTAAAGAGGAGGAGATGAAAGAAACTGAAATGACAGTTGGCTTGTAAATGATAAAACCTATTAAAATTTCAGCTGAAGAGTAAAGAAAGCGTAGGTGATATGTACAGGCTTAAATGTCAGATGAATTGGAAATCATAAAAAGGCTGTTGAAGTCAGTTTTTCTGCGGCTAGGTGAGATCATTCAAACATGGATACTATACAACAGCAATCAATTATATAATGAAGTAAATACCACAGCAGTATGTGGCAGTGTTACTTTTCCATGATTCTCAAAAACAGAGGAGGTAGTAAGTCAATCCTGAGAACACAATATGACAATATGACAGTTTCAGAAATTGATCAAAAGCAGCTCACCTTGTCTTCTCAAATGCCTTCACTGTTGTATCACTGGCCAGAGAACTGACCAAATTCACAATCTCTGCCAAGATGGAAGGTAGCAGGAAGTGTGAAGCAATTTCAGCCGTGCACTGTTGTATGGAGTGGCAGCCTGTTCACCAGTAGCCCGGTCATAAGGACAAACAGAGTGAGAGAGTGAGAGGAATACAAAACCTCGTCTTCAGAAGTCTTTCTGATATCAGTTTAACATCCTTGCAGGAAATATGGGAGAATCAACCATCACTTACCAAGTTTAGCCATGAAGGTGATCCATGGCTGGCAGGTGACTTGGTAGATGGGGTGTAGAGTGCCCGCATCGCCCTCTTCCAAATGAGACGCCTGCCTCCTACACAGCCACAAAACAGCCATACTGTATTAGGACACTGCTATTGGCCCCGTAGCACTAAGGGACCAGAGCCGAGTTAACTTAAAAGCTTGCTGATCAACTGTCAATAACAAAGTTATTTCCTGCTCAGGTGCTGTCATTTTTAGCTTTCACAACTGAATTTCAGGCTAGTATTCTAGCGGAACTTCATGACATTGCTAATCCATGCACAAAGGTGCCTTGCTTAACACTGTACTGTGGATATAGACATTCACAAGTTTATACACGGTAGCAATTTGTTCTGGTTATTTAAAACTGAAATATAGAGTTTTAGGCCAATTTTAGCCCAACTGAGAATACATTAATTGTTTTTTTCTGCAACAGCAAACAGATCAGCTCTGTAAATGACATCTCCTGCTCTACCGCTTTAGAAAAACAGTTACCACAAGGGAGACATTTATACTGTTTGTTGTCATGACAGCCTCCTGTCTGTGCACAACACAAAAAGAACCTCACATTTTAAACCACAACCCATTAGAATTGCCATTCTTTTTTTATTTGAAAGTGACATTGTTGACTGATCAACTTTATATATAAAGTGTAACTTTATATATAATAAATAAAACCCGACAGTACATGTGGCTAAAAGTAAAAAACAAGAACAAACAAGAGAAAAACTGTACTGCTAATGTCAGTTTGCAGATGATTTGATGTAATAGCTAATCATCTGCAGCACTTTTTAACATTGAAAACCTGCATTCATTGATGTTTTGGCCACTTGTTGGCAGCGCAACAAACTATAAACACAACATGGACATGTTATCACTTTATAAGGTTGATTTGACAAACATGTTATAGGCATTTACTTACTTAAACATCCATCAGAAACAGAGCAGCATTGTTGTTATTTCGTCGTTTTTTGAGTCGTGTTTGTGTAAAGTCCAATATTCCCTATCATTCTAGCTCTGTTTTGGTCTCAGCTCTTTAGTGAATATCAGACTATTAAACTGATAATTGCTCCACTATGTATACTGCAGCTAGACTCTAAATATGTCATTCATTCGGTTGCTGGAAACGTAGTGTTGACTGGGTTTTCTCCCAGCTGCTCACTGCTGCTGAAAACGAGACAGACGACCCAGAGAGACTGAACCCAAACAGTAAAGTTGTGGGTCATGGAACCAAAATAACGAGCTAATGCTGGACAGGCAGGCTGCCAAGGTATGTGATAATCCTCTGTGGGTTCTTCACCCCTTTCACAATGCATTGCACTGTCCCAGGACCCATTGTTCTTTATAAAATGCACTGATCAGTTAGTTTAGATGCAGAATGGTGTCGTCCCTTTCCCAAAACACTGATAACGAAAGTGTCTTTCCCTGTAAGCTGCAGCTAACAGCAAAAGTTTGTTTACATTGTGTGTCCTTGTTCCCAATGACTCAGCTGTCAATCAAACATGTTCACTGCCCTGCCCACTAACAGGTTTGGAGATATTTCTGATGTATCCCGTTTCAGTAATAGAAAAAAATCCATTAAATTTGGAAATCCTTTTAAGTAATTGGAAAAAGGGGTGACCTATTTGTGATTCCAGTCAAGTCTTTGCAGTTTTAGTATTTATTTGTAATAATACAATGCAATGCTTTTAGTGATATAGTTTCGGATCTACCCCACCTCTGGGCCTGCTCCAGCTCCACAGCCATAGCTTTCTCCTGGCTCCACTGCTGCTTTACGTTCTCCGTTTTGTGTCTTCGTCGTGCTGCTCGACCCTCCTCTCCTTTTTCTTGCACTATGTCGTCAGTTGTCTTTGGGCTCCCGAGCTCTGATGAGTCTGGCTTACTCTGTAAGGTGGAAAGGAAATGCTTAACAAGGCGCAGGTTGTACGCAGGCTCATATGGAATAAAAAGCGTAAAACAGATCCAGACTTGCCACAAAGATAAAGGATAAGTTTGGTAACAACAATCTGATCCTGTCAGTGACAAATACAAACCCATTAGTGGACAGACTTTGACAGGGCGCAGTCGCCTGCAAGAATTCTGTTGCAGACCTGTTTTATCCTGCTGACTGCAGCGCACTCACTCATTACTAGACCAACTTCCTAAAATGTTGTCCCAATTAGTCCCATAGACACCAAACATGGGAAAATAGCTTTAAAAAATATCAATGTTACCCTTTAATGCAAATTTAATCTAAACCTCACAAGTAGCCACTGAATTCTTTGCAAAGGGAAAAGCTGGAGGCATGTGGTTCAAATTTTCTATTGTGTATATAATGTCATCAGAGCATCACAATGGGTTGGGTGTGAAGATACAAGGCAAACAATTCAAAGCACTATCTGAGCCCTTAAACCTAACTGAGAATCTAATCAAGGAACACTTTCATTCCATTTAGAGGTCAAGACATTTTGGTTAGTTGGTTTTAAATTATTAAAGATGAACAGACATTAGTAGTATTAGAAATGTCTAGAAAACACTGAATAATATTAGTGGGTAGGTGGTTTCAGTTCCATTATTATTTCAGTCAGCAAATGAAAAGAATTCACAGAATAACTGCAGTTTTAATGTAACCCATATTTAATAATATCTGTGGTAATAAAAGTCTGAGTATTGCAATAAATGCTAATGCTAAGAGAACACAGTTCCATGACGAAAACCTTCAGCCTCTGGAGGAACTGACCAGTATGTCCCAGAAGCTCCGGCGAATGCTCTTGCTAGTGGGTGTGGTGGACTCGGGTGTGCTTGTCCCTGTCATGGGGGTGCTTCCCGGAGCTTGGGTTAAGGTGATGGGAGAAGGGCTGGTTTTAAAGACTCTTGTACTACTGCGCTGCCTGGGGCTGTCCTTCACTTCTTTCACCTCAGGAATCAACACTCCTGAAGACACATTTAACAAAGAGAGGACCACAAAAGAGTATCAGACATGTATATTTGAGTGGAGTTCCGCACGGCTCTCTGATCAGCAGTTTGAACTAGAGTTCCACTACTCAACCTGGCAGGTCCCCACCAGTCTAGTTCAGGCCATTGTACTGTTGTGTACAGCTTTGGGTTTGTTCATTCACAAATATATTTTAAGACTTTTCTCTCTTTGTGTATGTCATGTGTTGCATGTACACATGTTAAGGCCTAGTGGGAAGAGAAAGAGTTTAGCCAATGTGCTAACTGAACTGATGTACTTAGTAGTGGATGATAAAGCAAATCTATACTGTTGCTTGGGGTCTAGATGTGGGTTTCCGTCACAGATTTGGTGGGACTGGTCAGGTTCAGTCGAGGCAGGTCTTAAAGGTGCAGGATTGCACTAGGTTCAGGTCATAGTTTTAGATTCGTAGAGAACTAATTTGGACTGATACATTTGAAGAAATAGAAGTATTAACTTTTCCGTGAGATGGACAAGTGACAAAAGCCAAAAATACTCCAATCACACTTCAAAAAACGCCGGGGTTGCACTTTGTCCTTCAGGTTGTTGGACCATGGCTAGTGCAAACGTGTTCCACACATACTTGTAATATACACCACAAAAAGACCTGCATTAATGTTACATAAAAATTAACATAAAATGTTCAGCTATGAACAAAATATGATTAAAGGTTGAATTTAAAATTTCAACAAGATAAGGTTTATTCCCTTTTAATAAACAAGTACTTCTAAATAAATAATACAAATATTTTCACCATATTGTGACCCACTGTGGGCAGACTTAATGTCAACACCCGGGCAACACAGTGCAATCCAATACAATGTAAATATATTTGTTAAGTTTATCTGTTTTGTGTTGGCACTGTGTCAGAGGGAAGTTGATTCATGTGTGTGCTGGGTTACATTATGTTGTAATCTGTTGCTTTTGACCTCACCTGTAGCCTCTTCTTTCTGAGATTTGGATGTGGGGCACAGCACCCCTAGACAAAGAGGATTTGGCAAAACTCTCAGCTCCATGACAACATCACAGAGTGCGTGGCGAAGTGCCCCCTGCAGTTTATCACTTAACTGTAAGGGGCTGACGTTGCCTTGTTCCCAGATGTCAAACTGCACATACAGCTGTGGCTCTGTTTTGAAGACAAGCAGAAATAACACGTGTTTAACGCTCCCATACATTCAAATGAAAACAAATGGATGAAAAAAAACATTAAAGTTGCAACACTTAATCACATTGTTTTAGTTCCTAAAAGTGGATCAACTGTAGTTTTAAAATAGATAAAGGCAAGTACATACAGTCGGCATAGGTGTCAGGGGTAGTATTCTGGGGAAAACTGAGGCTGTTACTCGTCTCCACCTTGTCATTTCTGTCAGCAGGATCACGATTATTCTGATTATGATATGTTGATATTTAAAAGCATAGCACAGGGGACTGTCCAGTTAAGTCCACACTTCCAATGACATACCACATAAAAAGTGTCATGCTTTACCTTACACACAGACCTCTTCCACTTCCCTTTGTACAGGCTGATAGAGAAAATATTGTGCTCATCTTTGGAGGGATGACATTGGATTTCTGGCACCAATGTAAACTCTGCCTTCTTACCTTCGGTCCTCTGCTGCTGCACTTTGATCCAACCAGCAACCAGAGTGTTTCATCAAAATAAGCATCATGCACTTTGAATTTTTGAATAATCTTTCATTAACATGTCTTCAAACAATATACAATGGCACATACTACTACTTGCCTGCTCACCCTCTCTCTCTCTCTTCCCAAATAACTACCATTATACATTCCTCTCTCACCTCTGGTATTGTTCCCTCATCTTTAAAATCAGCTGCAATAACTCCTATACTTAAGAAACCTGGTGCAGACCCCAACAATTTCAACAACTTCCATCCCATCTCTAACCTACCTTTTCTTTCTAAAATCCTTGAAAAAACAGTTGCATCTCAGGTCCATGCACACATGTCTGACAATAACCTCTATGAACTATTCCAATCTGGTTTCCATCCCTGTCATAGCACAGAAACAGCTCAGCATGGCAGCTGATTCCAGACTACTTCTCATAACATCCTCCTTGACAGATTAGTCTCTATTGGTTTCACTGACACACCCTTGGACTGGTTTAAATCATACCTCTCTGGCCACACTCAGTTCATCCAACTCAAACATTTCAAATCAGAGCTATCCCCTGTCACTACCGGTGTTCCCCAGGGCTCTGTCCTGGGGCCCCTTCTGTTCATCATCTAGCTACTTCCTCTTGGCCATATCTTTCATAAATTTAACATCCATTTCCACCGCTATGCGGATGACACCCAGCGAGGTCCTCCCCACCAAACCCACTGACTAAACAGTTTTTTTCTTATCATTAACAACTCCCAAGTTTCCCCCTCCCCTCAGGTCAACAGTCTGGGTGTGATCCTCGATATTACACTTTCATTTCAAGCTCACATTAATAATGTCAGTCGGTCTGCATACTTAACCATATTCCCAGTTAAACACCGCATTGATTTCAAGACTTTGCTCCTGACCTTCAAGGCCATTCACAACCTCGCTCCTCTGTACCTCACTGCCCTTTTTCATATTAACACACCCACCCGTACACTCTTAGTTCTTCTTCTATTCACCTCACTGTAACTCCTACTCATTTGACCACCACGGGGTTCAGAGCCTTCAGCCGGTCTGCCCCTTGACTCTGGAACTTTCTTCCACCAGATATCCGCAACGTTGACTCGCTTTCTATTTTTAAATCCTGCCTGAAAACACTTCTTTTTTTTTTTATCAGGTCACAGCAATCTTTGTTTCCAATTGTTATGTACACTGATTTTATGCACTGTAATTATAGTTGTTCATTTTATCGATTTATTGCTGTAATGTTTTTTTGTTTTGTGAGGTTACCTTGAGTGTCCAGAAAGGGGCCTATAAATAAAATGTATTATTATTATTAGATGGAGAAATGTATTATGACAGTCACTGTCCCGTAAATTTGAGGATGGCTCTATTTTTAATGCCCAAAAGCAAACACCTGGAATCTTATTTGTTGGGTTTTTTCCCTGTTGCAATAGCAACAACACAGTATGACTATCACTTTCTTTTATTAATAAGCTTCCAAAACTCAGATTTCATTTTGATTTATGGCCCTGTGATGCAGTGTCACTTTGACAAATTTACCTCCAGGAACAAAAACCTTGCAGACTTGTATTCATTGACCAGGAAGATTTACTCGCTCAATTTTTGGGGCATTTAATATCTAGACTTCAAGTTTAATAGCCATACTGTTACCCATAACGAAGCTTGACATTTATGACTGTAATTAATCAAATTTTTTAATTAATGGAGTTTATACAATAAAATGACTCCTGGCACTTGCTGTAACCTTGTAACATAATCAAATTCAATGTTATTATGACAATTTGAAAACCAATGACATAGAACTCCTTCTCTGTTGTCTCAGTTGACTAGTCTTTGTAGCAGTAGCCTCTGAAAAGAGTTATATATGTCTTCTGTGGACTTGATGAGCTTTCCCACGTCTAAGAAAAACCTCCAGAAGATGTCCCACTGTAAGACCTGCTACTAACATGTAATCTGGATCAGAAAATGCATATTAATGCTGGTGTACATGCACACAGAACACACTGCAATCAGAGTCAATCAGATCTGCCAGACCCCATCTGCAGGTGGTCTGACTCACATTGTGATCTGATCTCAGACTGCTATGAATGACATTTTTTTCACATTAATCAGTCCACCTAACCCGCCTGTTCCTGCTATAATTCTGCCATTTCAAGCTGCCTTTCAAAAAGAAAGAGAAACTTTCTTCATCTACAAGAAGAGAAAGAAGTAGAACCCAAACAGCAACATCAATTCAGGAGACTTTCCAGAGACTGCAATAATGTGCAGGGCAAAAGTCACATGACCAACAGGTTTGATCAAACCTCTGATTACCTTCTTACAGTATTAGTAACATTAGCCCCGTTAACAAGGCTACTTTCATCTCGCACACTGTAGTGGCGCCTCAACACTATCTCGCATTACTTCCCTTGACCAGAGACACACCATGCTTGCTGGAAAGTCTCCCTGCTCCACCAGCTAATTTGCGTGTTGTTTTGATGCAAATGTGGGCAGAACTGAGATAAGGACATTTAGAACCTGGTGTATGCCTATGATCAGATGTCATGTTAATACTAGGTGTAAATGAGGTCCAAATTGAATGAAAAGCCAGCATTACAAAGGGTAAGGATGGAGATGTGAATTTTGAAAAATGTGGGTGTGTGTCGCAGGGAGTATCTAATGAAAATGTGTGATAAAATTTCATTGAGAGGTGCAGAACATTTTTGGAGTTTGGCCTACACTAAGGACTAAAGTCAGGATATGTCCGTCTCTGCAGCTTCAGTTTTGGCCATTTTTCAAACCTCATCTTATGCGTCTAAATTTCTGGATGTTGCGATTTGTGGAGTAACTGAACATTTAATACCCTAAATCATATGAAAGATTTCCACTGTGGCCCATTTGGAGTATCGTGCTCATTTGGGGCCTCTATAAGGGCTATACAATTCATTTGCATGGCATTCCAGCAAACATTCTTTATTTTCCATACTGGATCCTAAACTAGTTCATTTTTACCCCTGTGCTGTCATTGTTTTGTACTGCTGCTTGCTTGGTGCTGGTGATTTCAGCAGCTCCACTCAGGGTGCCCCGATGGCCTGGTGGTTACATGCAACATTTGAGCTTAGATTCCGGCTATGGACCTGTGTTTCATATCACGCCTCTCTCTCTCCACGCTGCCTTCTCCCTACTGTACGCTGCTGGCTCTCATATAAAGGCTAAATAAAGAAGGGAGAAAAAATAACTGCTTCATTCCATCTACCCAGAACAGCAAATCATCAAAGGATAAAAGTTACAAAAATGTTGTTTTATATATATTTTACATCCCTACTTTATGCCATCACCCCATTCCAGTCTTATTTAAATGGCAGGGTCTCTATCTTCTTACAGGTACTAAACAATACTCTTCATCTGTTTTCCTACTGTGACACTAATTTCACTGCATAATAAAGTTTACTTTATTAAAATTATTAACATTTTTGGACTTTCATTTTTGCTTTATGGTGAGTGCTTAGCTTTATATGATGAACTCGGGACTAAAATTAAGTCAGTGCAACTAAAATTTTGACTGTGTTTTATCACCTCCTACCTACAGACCCTTCATCGAACCCTAATCCTTAACTTTACCCTCAGCAATTTCACAAATAAAGTTTGGCTACAGCTGCTCAGTGTTGTTCACCTGTGCCTGAGCTGACATCGATGGAGTACACTTTGCACACAGTGGTCAGCTCATCGAAATGGTCCGGATGAAAGGGGATGGTGCAGTTCTCTGATCTCTGCAGTGTAGCACAGTCCTGAGCTGGAACCTGGAGGGGACGACCATGGGCATCCACAAATGAGAGGGCGATGCAGGCAATACCTGAAAGAGCAGTGGAATTTATTAAAATGGCAGCTCATTGGGTTATTAATTTCTACAACCTCCTGAGTCACTAATCATTTCCTTTCCTTCGCAATTATACAAAGATTCGTGACAATGATGCAGTTTTCATAAAGCCCTGGGGTTATTAGGCAATTTTCCAAATAATAATATGCAAAAACCTTGTTTGAATGCCATGGTGTGTGTCACCTTAACTTTCTGTTTTTGTCAGTGCAGCACAGATTTAAAGTTCTTTGACAGTGAAAAGAGGTGTCTTTAAATCCATTTTGATCCTTTGATGCTGCAGTTCCTCATCACATTACAGCTGTGCACATGCTGCAGCATAAAGCATAGCCGCCCTATAACACTGCTTGTGTAAGACAGGATTGTTGGATGTGTTAGCTTTGACACTGGCAATTATTGCACACTATCAAGTAAGCGGCACCATGCATGGAGCCGGGAGGACGTCTTGCCTTTACAGGCGGGAGAGACAGAAGACACAGATGCATTTCTGAAATACAAAGCAGTTTTTTATCTCAAACATTAAAACACCTTTCTTCTTATCAATTTTTTTATATATAATAATTAATTTCATATATTTTCCTTTTCTAACATACACACACACGCTTACTGTTTTGTTTATTTACTTTTATTTTTAATATTTATTTTTAATGAATTTTTATATTTATAATTTTTTTTTACTATTATTATTTTATTTTTTATCTATTAACAAACAACTTTTACTGTTTTATTTACTGATTTAATGAAATGTATGAAATGAATTGTTCTTTACTTCACTTTTGGCAATATTGTTGTTATACATTCATGCCAATAAAGCTGATTTGAATTTGACAAAGAGAGGGAAGCTGTCCTATGACACAAATTAATTGATTGCACACAAATTATTAAAACATACCCTAATTTACCCCAAAAGACTAATAGTTCATTTATTATTCATCTAAATAATACTGTAAAGAAAGGGTCATATGTTGGACTGCCAAATAAAGACACCATCATATCCAGGATTACTGTAAAAGGAGCATTACTGAAATGGTGGAAAATGTACATATCCATAACTGTTGCGCTGACAAATTCACAGGTGTTCAGCGTGGCTGTCAATAAAAGTGCGGGTATCAATGACATCCCACCTCTCACAGTCAACTGACAGCTGAAAGTATCAACATATAGACCAGACTGAACAGCAAAGGGCAGTTTACATTTTACTTAGTTTTAAATAGTAGCCTACATTACAACATGGTTTTGCATCTGTGAATGAGTAACAGTCGTGATCTTGCGCAAGTAATAGGCCTAAATCTCTACTACTACCAGTGTCCAATATAACATTTTCCCCCCACTGGCCCATTGCATATTTTTACTGGCACAACAACGTTACTTTATTAACTGATATACATTGTAATGATTCATTCATACAATAAAGAAATTATTTATTTTCTCCTTACATCATTTTAAAAAGATCTTATTATTTACATTTACATTTGGCAGAAGCTTTTATCCAAAGCGACATACAAGCATCAACAGAGCATCAAATACAGATCTACAACTGACAATACATACTAGTAAGAGCAGCAATAAATACTAGTAAGAGCTCATAGTACATACCACATATCAATGTGGTAAATACCTAGGGAAGGAAGTAAGAGTTAAAGAGGTGGTATTATGCTCATTTTCAGGTTCAAAATCTTAATTAGGGGTTGTACCAGAACAGGTTTACATTGTTTAATTTTCAAAAAACACCATATTTTTCTCATACTGCACATTGCTGCAGCTCCTCTTTTCACCCTGTGTGTTGTACGCTCCACTCTTGAGCTACAGAGTGATGCATCTTACTTGCACAAAATCTTTGTTGGGAGTTGCACATGCGCAGTTCCCAGGTAAGGACTACTAGCCAATCAGAAGCAGAGAAGAGCGGGTCGTAAGAAACAAGGTAGTGTGATCCAAATCAAAGCCGCTTCAGGTCCACAACCACACAACATCATTCATTGTTCCACATCTTACCATCAGGACTAAACGTTGTTGCCGGTGTTCTGACGATCTATGCTGCTTTGCTGAAAAATGCTACCAAATCAATAGACTCGACTCTACTCGGCCCTGCTCCGTTTTCCGTTGCAGACAGTACCCACAGATAGTACGTAGCTTGTTGTCATAGCGACGCCACACTCAACTGCCGCGACGTAATGTTCAATGCGACACACACACCAGCGATCCACACATATTTCTCTTTAAAGTTAAAACGTTTCAACATTCCTCAGAATGTAAAGACAGATTAGCGGTATGAAAACCTTCCAGCTGTGTTTTCCTCTGCCGTTGTTGCTGCAGCGGTCTGTGTGACGGCGGGAGCAGAGGGCTCTGTGAGCGGGCGGCTGGCCGGCCTTTACTGAACTTATTTTGAAAGCCTTCTTGAGGAGGCATGACATTACATAGAAGATACCCCTGACTGGTTGGATTATTATTTGTGGATCATATTCAAACTTCCCCTGGTAAACCAGTGCCAGAATGATCTGTAGACAAATACAAAGCGATCAGCAAATACACTGGGATCTGCAAACACAGACACTTGAATGCTAAAAATTTGTATGCATGTCTTGAAACAGTGGTTTGAAAAACGTTAGGCTGTGTTTGTTTGCAAATTTTGTATAAATATAAATATTATATTGTGTAAAACAACAAAACAGTAGTGTCAAAATTCTTAAAACAAATTCAAAACAATCTACAAAGGGAACATGTAAAAAAAGAAGATTCTGGTTTTCAAGTACAAGTCACTGAGTTTGTGGATCATGGAGTTTGTGGATTCTGAATACATTTGTGGATCTTGTTTTCTATTTGTGGATCACGTAGAGTTAGTTTGTAGATTTTGTATCTATTTGTAGATCGTGTTTTGTGATTCATAGTCTGTGGATTTACAATGATAATGACATCGATTTACCCTCATAGGTTATTTAGCAGTTATTTATGTGCCTGGCTAAGCAGTTGTGTTACAAGGCGGCTTAAATGTATGTTTAACGCCTCTTCTGATGCCAGAATGGTTGCTAATTAGCAGCTTTGTAAAACTAGTGGAAATATATTAGAAGGGATGGTGGCTGGACAACTGAGGGAGCCATCAAGCCAGTGGAGCCAGCAAATGCAGGTACATGTGGAGTCCGCACGTATTTTTGCATCCAATTCCAATGCATACGTGAAAGGCAGCTTAACGAATGGTTGGGTAGCCCATGTTCCTCACAGACAGGATGCAAGATGAGGAGAAGCAGACTGTTTACATCAACGATGCTTCGTCCTCAAATGCAATATAAATTAACGAATGTTTGCCTGTTTTGTTTTTTTAATGTTAAGATGCCTAATTTATCAACACTATTTTGTTGCCATTGTTTACATTCTCACAGATGTATATTCAAAAAAATACACTAAAGAGCTATTACTCGATGGTTGTAAAATGGGTGGAAAATGCTCTGTGCTCTTTTAAAGAACTAGTTGGTGAGACAACTTTATTTTTATATTTAAGTAGCTCAAGCTGAGTTCACGCAACAACACAGTATCAAAGAGAATCAGAGAGCATTTCAAAAATCAATTTTATGGGTTGTGTTGTTTTTTGTGCAAGTCAAGCAGAGTCTTACTGTGAATACAGCTGAGCATGCTACATGCATCCCATGTTGTCTTGTTATCGGTTGCCCATGATGGCTGACCATGTCGATCTGGGAAATGAAGCTGATGATTGCTACAACAGTTACTTAATGAGCAGACTAACAGTGATGGAACTCAATTTGTAACTCAAGGCTGCCATCATCCAGCACTGAAGCAATTACTCTGTCACTCTGGCCCATTCCTATACAGTATATGAACACAGGGTGACATTGGGCTGATAATTCAATAAATGCTTGGCCAAATAAAACTATATTTTTAGAAATCATAATGCTGCCTTTGTTAGGATTTGGTTTTGTGTTCATGTTTTTCCTGTTTAGTCTGTTTTCATAGGTTTGGTTTTGTGTTCTCTATTTGATCTTGTAATGTTTAGGGTTTTGTAGCTTAATCTAGTCTTGTTCATTCGCATGTTTTAGTTTCTGTCTTGTCTCTTATCTTAGTTCTTAGTCCTGCGTTTTAGTTCTTTGCCTTAGTTCTTAGTCCTGTGCTTTAGTTCATGTTTAGTGTTTTTCCTGGTCTGTGTACTTCTGTGTTTTATTATTTTGGGTGGGTGCTTTCATGCCTGTAGGCCAGTTAATTTGGTCCGGACCCAGTAAAAAAAAAGGTTCACTGTTGCATTTTATTTCTGGTCCAGTTCATATTCACACTGCAAAACCAGAAGGGGGGAAATCCCACGCACGCCCCCCCCCCCCCCCCCCCCCCCTCTAAGTGAGAACTTAGAAGGGAGAAATCCAACACCATGACAAATACCATGATATAGTGAACATCGACACAGCAAGTAACGTAACTAATGTTAGCGAGGTTATGGATCTATAGCTAACATCACAACAACATCACGGCAGGCACTGCTGGATAGTGTTGTGTGGCTCGTCAGTTATATTTAATGCAATTTCTTCCCTGCAACACCGACATGAATTTATAATTTTCAAACTACCACACAGACAGACAAAGAGAGTTTCAAGGTCAGGAAAATTCCAAATGATCGGAGCACTGCTTGTGCTGGTCATTGCAAAGCCACAAAAACGGGGCCCTTAATGCCAAAAGAGAATAAGTAGTCAGCTTAGACATCAGTGCCTTATGAGTTCACATTGAAATACTTAAAATAGGGTATTCTATTTTCAGTGTATTTAGAATATGTATTGTGGTTGTGTTAGGGTCTTTGAAGCAGGAGTCACTGCAACAAAAGCCAGTACAGGACAAATCTACAGTAAGCTCAGCAGCAGAGAGACATAGGCTCAAACACAAGAAACACCACACTTCATGCACCTTTGAAGTCCATGCTAAATACATTTTTAATAAAACGTATATGCTGAGGTAAGCCTTAACTGAAGGAGGTACAGCACTGCAAA